TTTACATCTCGCCCAGGACCTAAAAAATGTCGGGAACGGGGCCTGTCTGTTGCACATAAAAGTTCTGCCGAACATGGAACAATTATCTCTGTTCTGTTTTGTTCTATCTTGTCGAGTGTACCAAACATACCCTAAAAAGGATGCATGATACCACTCGGACCAGGAGAAGCCAAAGTCTTTTCGCCGATTTGAAGCCCAAAAAAATGATTGTAATTGCACTTCGAAACCCAAATCTTAAACTAGAGTGATAGAAACTGCAAAGGCCTTCACATTCCTTGATTTCGAATGATGTATAATGTTGTCCTAATAGTCGTCAACCTGATTAATGTCCGGTTTTTCTATCATGTATATTTGAAGAAAAGGAGAGGATGTGGTCAAGAGACCTCCAAGAAGGAGGCTCACATTACCACCATCACCAAATGCTCGCCCAGACCTGCAAGCCAGAAGGACAATCCAGAAAACAATGATCTAAAGATTCGACTTCGTTGTTTCAACAGAAACAAAAAACGAGGTGCAGATCCACACCCATTGCAATCACAATTAAATTGTTTCATTTTTTCTAAAAAGCAGCATGAAGTTAAAAAACCGAAGGATGCAAGATACATTAAAAGATACTATAAGAAGGAAATATTAAAAAACGAAACAAAAAAAGCAACCCACAAAAATACAATTTGAAATAGGTTGAATAACTCAAGGTGAACCAATCCAATGCCTAGTTGATGTGATGATGCATAAATTCTATGAATGCAAATAGTTGGGTGGGTTCGAATTTAGACCCAAAGCAAAGTTAATCCAACCAATGCACATCTTTACTTAGAAATTTGTGATTAAATTGATTTTACTTTGAAACTATGACCAACTTCTCAAAGCATGCTATTGCCTAGTTGTTATGATTTTTATGTAAAAGTGTATAAAAAACTCGAAGTTTGGCATCAAAAAGCTCGGGTCTGGCAAGCCTGAATCCCAAGCCCCATATCCTAAAAGCTCAATAAGGCCCATTTTTTTACGGAAAAGTTAGACCTAAGCTTAAAAAACCTCGATCCCTTCTTTAGTTACTAAAAGCAAGCTTTTAAGGCCCACATCAAGCATGAAAAAGCTCGGGCCTTGTGCATATATCTCTACTCTTAAGGAGACGTTTGGTTCACAAAATGATTTATGAAGGAATATAATATCTTAAAGGAATTGGAATCTGGAAGAAATTGAAATGAAATGTTAACATGTTTGACCAAGGGGGCGTTTCGTTGGTCGGAATCCGCTGGAATCTATTGGAATTGGAATAGTCACTTCCGTTGACTAAATTTCATTCCAATGTTTGGTTACACATGGAATGGAATTGAATTCCAAAGATTCCCAAATTTGAGGAATTCACCATTCCTTAGTAAATCTGATATAATTGAAATCCATTGTATCCAAAAGTGTTTAAATGACATAAAAATTACATAAATACCCTTCTGCTACTATGTCATTTAAACACTTTTGGATGAAATAAATTTCAATTCCACAAGATTTAGTAAGAAATGATGAATTCCTCAAATATGAGAAATTTTTATCAGGGTAACTCATTTTGTTCTTTATTATTGTCTTTTGAACGTAGAATTTGTAATTTGTATATAATAAAATGATAAAGATTATTTACTTTTTTCTGTAATTTTTAATATTATTGTGGTTATATTTAATTGATGATAAATATTTTCATATCAATTTGGAAATAAGATATAAATGGTTGACACCAAAAATCAATACTAAACGATAACATTGTCTTCTTGAATTTGAGAAGAAAAAAGAAAGAAAAAGAAAGATAAGTTTTTTTCATTTGTGTTCAGAAAAGGGAAAGAAAAGAAAGGAAATGTAAAAAAAATAAACTAAATTTTCATGTTTTAAGCTGAAGAAAAAATGAAATGAAATATGTTATTTTTACATATATGTCTTTATTTATTTTCCAATAGATTATAATTGATACGTAGATTTGTAATTATCAGTACTAAATGGAAGACTTTCACCTATGGGTTTTTCCCTGGGAAATCCATTACTAAAAAGGTGATTCGTCACAAAATTTGGTGGGTAAATTATTGATTGGAAACTCAAATCAGTGACAACTTATCCAAATATTTCATGGGTGATCCGTTGGTAAAACTTTAAAAACATCAGATTCTATCAGAACAATTGGTTTTTTTCTAATCGGTAATCACTAACAGAAATTTCACTGGGTGATTTTTATGTGTAAAATTCATTTATTTTGTAGTGTTTATAAATATTTATAGTTGTCTGCACTATTAATTTCCTTTCCTTTCACATTCGGGAATCAACATTATTTTTCCTTTCCATTTTCACCTTAAAAAACTTGAGAAGTTATGATAACGGGGTCATTCGTTTAACAAGTTTGGGGTTATTATTAAAATTGTTTTGGAAGGTTAAGGGTCGTTTTTATTAAGTGATGAAAGTTGAGCGGTGTCTTTTGAAACTTGGGTTTAAAATATCTCTCTCTCCACTACAACATCGTATAGATATCTATACTATATTATAAGGCATTTGACAAAAACTCTTAAAAACTATTCTTTATGTATGAAGTACTGTTTATTGATGCATATTACTTAAAATTCAAGATTACAAGTAATTTTGCATAAGTACAACTTATTAAAGCTTCATTCTTAAGTTTTTGTAACTAACTGCAGTAAACATAATCAAATACAGGATAAACATCTATTTTAAATATAGAAAATCTAAAATATAATTATGATAATCATTGAGTTTAATAAAATGTTTAATTATTATCTTTATAAAAAATTATATTATTAAACCAAAAATAAATTACTTTGTTATTAAATCTAAATTAAATAATAATAATAAATTGAATTAAAGAAGTTATACAAAAAAAGAGAACTATTAAATAATTAATTTGATACGAATATCGATTTTTTTTGTTTAATTTTATGCTATCTTCAAATTTATATTTCATTTAAAAATAAAAAAATTATCGTTTTCTTAAAACCACATAAAATCGTATTATATTGATAGAGACAAAAGATAAAAACTAAACATTAAAATGAAGATACATCTCGATTTTATTGTTTTCTTTTATTCTTTGTTTATTGATACAATACAATTTATATGGTTTTGAGAAAGTGATAATGTTTTTCTTTTTAAATAAAATATAAATTTGAAGATATTGTAATTAAATTTTGAAAAAAAAAATATCGATATTAATATCAAATTAACTATTTAAAAATTCTCATTTTACATGAAATATGTAAATTTTATACAATATTTTCTTTTTTTTTTCTTTTTTCTTTCCGTTCATAAAAAGGGACTAAAAAACACGACGTAAGTAATTAATAAAAGAGTGCACTCCCTTTACTTATAACTAAATTAAACATAGGCATATTTAATTTATTCATGATGACGAAGAAAATCCACAAATATAACAATACATCACTTTTCAAATGTAAAAAGAATCTAGAAATCAATGTTATCGACAAAAACCTAACCTAACCTGCCCTTAATTTTTAATGTTTTAAACTTTTTTTTTTTTTTTTGTAAGGGTGTCCGGGCCAAAGCCCGACTAATCCCCGGCAATTTTGGAGGCTAAGCATGGCCCCACTTAAATGTCGCTAACACTCCCCTCCCAGGGCTCGAACTCGGGTTCATGACTATGCCATGCCCAAGCCTTTACCACTAGGTTGGAAGGTCTTTGATTCATTATCGTATTAGGATATCATGTATTTTATATATAACCCTGCCATGATTCAAATATTTATGGAAAATTAATTGTAATTAACTTTGATTAATTTAAAGATATTTTGATAATTTGATTAACTATTTTATATGGTTAAAATTAAACAAAACATAGGAAGAAGGTAAAATTATGTTAATAATTAATGGATGAATTTATCAGTTAATATGTAACAGGTTGATCTTCGTATTCATAATTCGATCCAATCTGTTTTGTTTGGGTTGATAGCTAAAACAAAGTTTTCAGCATCATCATTCATCATGGATCTATGGCATTCAAGTTAGGGGGTATTTGGGACTGCTTATTTGAAACAACTTATGTTTTTCTACAAAAGTTCTTATCAACTTATTATAAGTTAGAATAGTTTAACTTAACTTCTTCTTATTACCGGTTTGGCACCGGTATAAGTTGTTTATCCAAACACTCAAAAATGTTTATTATCGGATCTTCACCAAGATAAGTCAATAAATTGTTTTTATAAGTAATCCCAAACACCCCCTTAGTACATGTATGGCTTTTTCTTTGTGCAACACATAAATCCTAGAAAATATTACCATCAGATAGTAATTGGTTTCTTGTTATCATAATTGAGAAAAAAAAAAACTATGCAAAAAATACCAGAACTATCAAAAATGCATTTGTTCTGAAAACACCACAGAGTGTGTAATGCTTAAAGAAGATGCTCCAAAACAATGAAAAGTCAAATAGAGATAAAGTCGTCTTGGAGATCGTTTACTAGATGTTTACCCGTACCGGGTCATTTATCCTATCGTATGAACATAACAAGAGCCGAAAATCTTACCTGATAAGAGCACTGATAAGAATGGAGAGTTATATCTGGTAAGTAAGAGTGACAACTCTTACCCGGTAAGCGTTTATCGGGTAAATTATTGCATACAATACCATTTCGATGGATTATAATCTTAACCAGTAAAATGAATTATAATGTTGACTCTTACCGATAAGCGTTTATCTGATAAAAGTTTGAGTAAAATGACATACCATAGTCTAAAGTAGATACATATAAAATCAACCAAAACGTATTAGTTTTAATTACAAAGAATAAACATATACACACAGATGTATATATGATTAATGATGAAGAATAAATAATAAAAAATTAAATTAGAAATTCTTTTAGCCACCTTGACTTATAACAAACCTCCAAACCATTTGAAATGTAAAAGTTGTATACAATTACGTCAAGTAAGCCTCCTTTTTTTTTTCTTATAAATTGTGGATTTGTTGTGATTTTATTCATCAGAATTAATTTTAAAGTTTTATAAATTCTTGGATATTCTTAGAATTTATCGAAAAGCCTTATCAAAAATGGGTTTGGTGATTAGAGCTCTGATTTTGATCGGCATGGTTGCATGTCTCACGTCTATTGCCCACGCTATTGCTGGGGAAGCCACTTATTACACTGTGTATAAACGTAAGTTTATTTTATTTAGTTATAATACAACCTTGATACCTGAAAAAAACGTTGATTAATGTCCTGTTTTTAATTGAGTTTATATTATGTTGTTGTAGCATCTTCATGTTATGGTGATGAAGACCACGGTAATATGATTGCGGCGGTGAATAGCGGTCTATTCGCCAATAAGGCAGCATGTGGAAGGAGGTATAGAGTGAGGTGCACCGGCCCAAGATCATGCAAAGGCGGCACCGTTGATGTTACGGTTGTTGATCTTTGTCCAGGATGTGGACCAAATGGAATCGACCTTTCACAAGAGGCGTTCTCCGTTATTGCCGATCCTAGTGTCGGAAGAATCAACATTGATTATACCCAGTAATTATTCATCCCGATTAAGTTTTCTTATTTCTTGATCTCAAAACCCGAAGTGTGAATAAATGTAAGTATTTAACTATATTTTGTTGTTGTGGTTGTTGTGATATTCAGGATATGAAAATATGAAGAAATGGAGAATAAGCTCTCGAATGAGTTCGATAAGGAGGGTAGATGAATAAGCGATAATGATTGAAGGGATAAACGTTGTATTTGTCTCATAATTAATAGAATTATGAAAATAAAACTAGTTACATCTACTTTTATTTCATAGGCAATAAAAAATGTCTTCTTGGAGAATCGTGGATGTCTTGATGAGTTTGTGCACATCTTGTGATCCCATAGTCAAACCTTCAGTGATTTTGAAAGAATTCGAACCGATGACTACTTGAAGCAAATCTAATATCTTACCGGTTAAATTATCTTTAGAGCTTAGGGGCTGTTTACTAAACGCTTACCTGATCACATTACCTTACCGGATGAATATGATAAGGACCATAAGAGCGAGACAAAGAACTAAGAGTCTTACCCTGTAAGTGAGAGCGACGACTCTTACCATGGTAAGCACTTACCGGGTAATTGTTGCATACAATGTCGTTTTGATGAACTAAAATCTTATCCGGTGAGTAAATGATAGTGTTAAATTTTACAGGTAAGCACTTACCGGGTAAGTGTTTGGTAAACAATCTCTTATTTCCATTGTAGCCGGGTAATTTGGTAAATATATAAAATCTCCTAGAGAAAAATAATTTATTAACAATTTTAATGTACTTTTTATGAGAACAAATATCGTTATCTCCCATATGCAATCGGGTCGGGCGATCGTCTTCATGTAATTTCAGAAAATAAAATTTTGAATTCGAGTATTTTTTGTTGCACGATTTATAGCATAATTTATGTGATTATTAATCAAAATTTGTTTACGAATTACTAATACTAATGGCTTAAAGTCACTTATTTTAAATAAATTTCATTAGAAAACTACTTGTAACTTTTCATGTATCTTATTCTTTCAGATGGATGGAAATGTTTAAACCAGCCTTCCATTATCATTCGCAAATAATAATGTTAGAATACGGAAGTAATATATTTAACGGAAAATGACCGTATTTCTTTATGAGTTTATACAAAAAGGAGTAGCATGGATGTTTTAAATTTTAGCAGAACGAACATCTTGACCATTTGATATCGTATCTAAATCTAAGCCAACAAACTCAGCTCGTTGCATTTATGATATCCATGCAAATACTCTGAATCTGGTTGACATCAAAGTTAAAGGAGGAGATCCTCCCTTTTTTGCCACATGCTAGATACGGTCTCCAACTTCTTGGAGAATAAAATTAGCAGCTTGTGGAATATAGAGAGAGAATTAATTCGGATGAATAATTCTTGCAATCAGCTCATCCCCATGTCTCAGAATGGATTTCTATATATATAAGTATAATGATGGTCCTTATAATGAACAAGTATTATAAGTGTCACGTTTAGAAGAGTGGTTAATACTTTTAGAATATCTCATATCTTCTTCTTCTAAAGATGGTGAAATATTCATCACTGGAAGCTAGAGTTTGGGTTTGGATTATAGGTTTAACCTAACATATAAAGTGAGTTTAAAGTTGCTTTGTGAAAGCTATGTACGTACAAAAAAATGTCCATTTTGAAGTCTCTAGATGTTTTCTTGATATTTATCAAATGTGTTGAATATATGATGAGATTTGTATATTTAGTACATTTGATTTTATAAATCTTGTGTGAAATTCCCATATTTGGGGTTTTTGGACATTTTGATAAATAAATCATATTAGTATGTTCTTTTGGTGATTTATTGTATAAATGGAGATCATTTTATGTAAATGCACTTTTAATTTATTTGGTTCTATAAACCATTTCAAAAATGAATATCTTATTATGTTATGAGGCATTTTGCAAATATAAATAGTATGATTTCAGTTGGAAAATGCAATTAATGAGTTTTGAGTTAATCATATTTTTGAGCATGTGTTTGCATAAATATTGGTTAAATGTGTTTTCATTACTTTTGCTGATTTTTATTTGAGTAGTTAAATAAGAGTGGAATCATTGACTTGATTTTGGTGATTTGGTTCATTTGAGTTTTGAAGACATTTTTCATTTAAATTGCTCAATATTGAGCTTGGGCATGGTTTGCATTTACTGCACTTTTATTTGAGAATTATATATTTTGAGTGCGTTGGTCATTCAGTTATAGTCATATAATTTAGACCGTAATGCAATAGATCCATAGACATATGAGTCAGTCTTGTTTAATAAGTGAGGAGTCTTGATGTCCTCACTTTGTGACCAATGCTCGAGTAGGAACTATGGTCATCTCAGAATTGCATAGATGAATTCTTAGGAGTCAAACTTCGGGACCATGAGTATTGTGGTTTTGATGCTTTAACCCTTATGCATGAGGGTTAAATGCTCAGTGTAATCAAGTAGCAAGTTTGAGGTTCCTATCTTGAATGTTAGTGAGTAGACGCTAAAGGTAGAATGAGAACTTTAAGGTATGAACTCAACTATAGAACGAATGGGCACTAAGATTCGATATTCTTAAAGTGACACTTGAAGAAGTGGGAACTAAAGACTATGGCCTTGAGGTGAAACTTGATAGAGTAAACACTAAAGGTATTGAGGACTTGAGGTGACACTTGTTATAGTGGACACTAAAGAAGGTCAATGAATCTGAGGTACAACTCGATAATGTTGATACGTGACCTACTTTTGTATTCCGCCACATTCGATGGATACGAGTCTCCTCCGTCACCGAAAAGTGTTATTTTTGGATAATATATTATCCATTTTGGTGTTATTTTAGGTACGGAATATATTCATAATATATGGTTTTGGTATCTTGGAAGTCCAAGGGTGGAGCCAGAATCTGGTTCCAGGGGGGGCAACAATTACAAACGAGTAAAATAGATGATGAATTGTTGGTAGGTTTATCTTTTTGTTAAATACTTATCCATGGTTGCAAAATATATAGAAAACTAAAACCACAACTTAACAAATGGACAACCTTAAAACCTCAATCAGTTAAATCAACTAACAAATGGGAAACCCGAGAGATCTAAAGAAGCTGATTTAATTAACACCTTATAAAATAAAATGAAAGGTACAATGCTATTAGAAATAAAAACAAACTACAGTTTACATTCGTTCTTATGATCTTTTATCTTTAGAAAACGATTTATTGCATTCGTGACAACAACTATCAAGCTATTTTTACACAGTTTAATGTAAATATGTATGGTTTTTTCTTATTTTGACACGGTCTTAGGTACAACTTTTATTAAAATTGATATTGAACACTTTAACTATTTAGGTAGCGTTTGGTACGCAGACTGGACGGGACGGGACGGGACGGGACGGGACTGGACTGGACGGGATGGGACGGGACGGGACGGGACGGGATTGGACAGGATGGGACGGGACTAATTGGGTTTTGAATCTCAAATTGGTCTAAGGGTAACATGGTCATTTTATATTTAGTCTCATGTTGTTCCACCTTTTTTGATGGAACAAAAAATATCAAGTTTTGTCCCATGAAATTTAAAAATAGTCTCATCTTGTCTTGTGTATTTTTTGTCCATGGCATGCCAAACATAGGACTATTTTTTTTGTCCCGTCCCGTCCCACGTAGTCTGCGTACCAAACGCACCCTTATTGATATTGAAAAATTCATTAAAATTGAAGGATAAGTATTAGATTCATGCATCACCACTTTACCTTTTTCACTTGGTCCCCCCTTTCCCACCGCCTGTATCCCTCATTTCCTCCTATTCTCTTGTCATATACCAAACTATTTTTGAAATTTACTCTTGTTCCTATGTGGCTATTTCATTCTTGTCTCTGATCCATAAATTTTTTCAAATAGTGATATCATTTGGTTATAAGAAATAAATATAGAGAAAAAAATTCAAATGATAACACCATTTTTTTTTATTAATTTGGATATCCAACTCATTATGCGAGCCGACTAATCTCATGACGACCACCTGTTTTGTTTTGCAGATAGCCCGGAGTCACCGCATTTGAACCTCCGTGGTCACAAGGGGATTTTTTATTCCTCCTTGGATTTGAACCTAGGACCTCCTGGTACTTTTGACCTTTGGAGTCAAGTTCAAACCAATCATGCACCACCCTTGTAGTTAATGATGACACCATTTGACTATAAGAAACAAATGTGGGAAAAAAAATTCATTCTGTGGCACCATTTGACTAATAAAATGACACTAACAGGATTCAAACTCGAGTATGTGGTGGAATAAGAGTCTTGCAAACCAACTCTACCAAAGAAAACGTGTTCACATTGCAGTTTCAAAATACATATGGTGGCACACAACAAATTAATACGGTTGCACCTTTCACGAACCTAAATTTTTACCCTTCAACGGAGAAATAATACGGTGGCACGTGCCACCATTGGCACCATTGTAGGTCCGTCCATGATTGCTTGTAACTTATCAATGTTTGGTCTTTTAGATAATTTAGTTTTGTTCATGTTTTCAATATTTAAATATTAAACTTTATTTGTATTTTGTGTGAGTATTGAGATTTGGTTCCATTTTAAATGACTATTTTGATTAATAAGTTTTCAACATGAAAATGGTAGGTTCTGGGAAAGATGTTGTTTCTATATTTAATACATTTTGTTTTGAAAATTGTGATTTAAATAGCATTCTTTCAGTTATACCGTTTTATATTAATGATGAAAACTGTTTAAACTCACTAGACTTTAAGCCTAACATTTTTTTCCTTGAGACATGTACATCAGCTCCTTCTTGAGGAATGGTACTAGCGACACTATGAAAAGTTAAGTGCCAGTCAGAGGTACGAGAAAAAGTTAGCTAGTCGATGACGTCTTCCGTATTTTGTAGATAACGACTGTAGTTGGGATTTAGTAACACTCGTTCCAAATCTAGATCTATTTGTTGATGAAAACTTATATTGTTGTAACACCCTCAAATCTAGAAAGTGCTGCTAATTTAAAATTTTCATTAATACAACAAATAAGGAGGTAAATTCCTTTTCTTTTAATTAATACTTGAATTATCTCGAATAACAAGTTCAAAATCATCACCATCATAAGATAGACAAAGTCTTACATAAAGACTAAATTAAGGACGAGTGTTATTATAAACCAATAACTGTTGATGTCTCCAAATGCGGAAGATATCAACGCTAAAATAAATCCTTCTTGTGCAACTACCTAGCACTCATCTGATCACGGTGTCGCTAGTACCATTTTTTTGATGAAAACCCGTTAAATCAAAATAATCAATTACACAACCGAAACCTAATACTCACATGAACTACATATAACTTAAAAGGCTCGACATAGAGCAACAAAACCGGTGAAATGTCCCCAAGACTC